CTGGTTTCCCGGGCAGGTTCCCCGAAGACAATTTTTTGCACAAGGCGGGTCCCTGCCAGCAACGTCTGTCGCTAGCAGGGGCTGGAGCACCAGCGCTGCCCCGGAGCTGCAGGCGGCTCCGGCTGCGACAGGCACGACACACCTGGAGCAACACAGATGGCAGAGCGCTGCTGAGACATGGTAGCTCTGGGAACGCGAGCTGGCTGCTCATTCCGGCCCTGGGAAGCAATGCCTGGACGTTAGCCGGTGGGAGCCCATAGGCAAGAATTCCATTGATTCTGGCACAACCACCCATATGCAAGCATCTGTATCGCCAGCACCGTGTCCCAGGGAGGGTGGGACGCTGCTGGGCGAGACCAGCCAGGAGCCCTTGCCCAGGGGCAGCGGGGACAGCTCTCTGCTGCGAGCTCGAGTGAGGAGAGCCCCAGGAGCGTACTCTGGGCAAGGCGACAACAGTGCAGAACCACCCGGGAGCCACACCGGCTCAGCGTCCTCTCCTGCCACCCACCCATGGCTCCTACAAGCACTCCTCTCTCCAGCAAGGACTGAGCCAGCCAGGCTCGCAGGAACCAGGAAAGCATGAATTTAATGCAAAAAAAAAAAAAAAAAAACCCAAACAAAAAAACCCCAAACAAAAACAAAAAAAAAAAAACCCCCCCAAAAAACCAAAACAAACGACAACAAAAAAAAAAAAGGCAGTTTTTCCTTGGCCTAGAAAGCGACCTTGGGGAAGAGGGGGGAGCTCTCTGTAGACTGCCAAACCCGGGAGCCTTCTGCGGCTGCAGGGCCCCAAAAGCAGCACAGCTGGGGGGCACCTGCCCCCCTGGGTGGGTACCAGGAGGCAGCGCCGGGTCTGCTGGCAGGCGGGTGCTGCCTGCTTTGCCCTGTGCTGCCTGACCGCAGCCAGCAAGGCGGCAGGGCAGTGCCCTTGGCGGGGCAGAGTTGAAGCACAGCGAGCTCAGGAGGGTGGCAGGAGGCCAGGCCAAGGGGTTTTGACTTGCTTTGCCACTGCTGCGGGAAGCCAGAGAGCCAGAGTCACCTCCTCCTCCTCCTCCTGCCAGCGGTGGGACAGCGGGGCACAGCGGCACGGTGGGATGGGGGCCCTCTGCTGAACAATGCTCGGTGAAGTGGAGACCCCGAGCTGAGCTAGCAGAGGTGGAATCGCAGTTAAACACTAAGCGGGTGCCAAAGCTCGGTGCTGGCAGCGCCAGCCTGGAAGTCACCCTTCCTCGCAGCTGGATAGCTGTCTCCATCACAGGCGCCTGCAGCAGGGCCCAGGTGATGCTCAGGTGATTTCGGGAGAAGATGCGAGCAGAGCCCAAAGGTCACGTCTTGCAGAGGGGCAGTGGCTCGTGCCATCAGGGAACAAGTAAAGTAAGAGTTGGATAAAGTGGCCAGAGTTGCTTAAATGAGAAATACCTGCATGGAGGACGAGTCGGCAGGGGCTAACGCTGAGGCCAGGCATTTGCAAGAACACAGGGGCCAAGAAAGTCGGTGGCACGCAGACCTAATGCTAATCCACCTGGGCTTAACAGAGCCATCGCTGGGAGCAAGGGCACAGCGAGCCATGCCAGGAAAGCGAGATAGAGCAGGCTGTGACACGGAAGACAGAGGACACCGCCCGGCCCGCTCCCACGCCCTGGTGTCGGGGTCCATCCAGGCTCAGGTGGGGTCCCCACCCACGCCTGCTCCCCTCCAGGCAGGGGATGCTCCAGCACCGAGGGGCTCAGCAGCACGCCCCAGCCCTGCCACTGCCCCCAGGAAAGAGCGGAGGGGAGCACCTGTGCCACGGCCACTTGCGTCTGCTGCTGCTGCTGCTGCAGGAGCTGCTGGAGAAGCTGCATTTGGTGGTGGGCAGAGAGGGGCGTTCCCAGGTCAGGCAGCTGGGCAGACGAGGGCAGCAGCATCTTGGGCGACGCTGTCAGGATATCTTCAGGGTGGAGGCAGCCCTGCAAAACACCGGCGTCGGAAGTGTGATCTCGTGCCCCTCGCCATGGAGAGCCGCCAGGCACACAGGGCTGCGGCACAGAGCAGCCCCCAAAAATACCCAGGAAAGAAACTGCTGCATTCAAAGCAAACGTACGCTTTGCTGGGGGTGCTGAAAAACTTTGAAGACAGTATTTTTTCAGTTTTGACAAAGCCCAAATACTTTTGTAGAAAATTCCAGAAACGGCTGCAGCTTCCCACGGGAATT